CAGAACTGTATCCAATTAAAATTTTGGTGAAAACCAACAAAAAATGGGTGTCTCTTACAGTTGTCATCCAAATTATTCACTTAGAGGCCTAAAGTTAACTGGTGAAATAAATATTCTAGACAGGCTTTCAGAAAACTTAAACAACTTTGTAGGCTACCATGGTATTTGTAATATTAGAAAAGTATATGGTTATAATAGTTTTCTAAAAACAGAAGGTATTAAATGCTATTAAAGTTCATTCCATCCCTTTATGACCATCCTCCAACCTGCTGACAGTGCATAAATTGAAGGGAAAACCAGAAGGTTGTTTCCTTTGTTTACAGGTCTTAAAAAAGGAGTCAGGTGATTAAAACAGAGATAGGTCAGAAAAACTCTGCACAAGAAAATTAATTTCGCTAAATCTCAAATTTTCAGAAGCACCCAAGTACTACTTTGTCTCACATAGCAGCACCTTGGCAGATAATTTCTTCTTTTAAGGTCCTGCTTTCAACAGGAGGTTGGACCACATGATCTTCAGAGGGCCCTTTTAACCCAAACATTTTATGGTGATTCTACAGTTCTTCAGGCTTGGGAAATGTAAGACTAAGACAAAACACTTCACAAAGGAATCTTTATTTCCTTATATACCTTTATAACTTTGATCCTAAGTCCCTTACCAACTGTAGGTCACTTGCAACAACAGAAGGTTTCCTAGTCAATAGCAATAATGGCACAGCTAGGCAGGAGCATTTAACAGTTCTCATTTTCTGGAATATGCTGACTACTTAGCTATTTTCCCCTATTTTGTCATATTTAGGATATTTGTTCTGGGTTTGAAACATTTGGACCTGGAACACTTCCTATTTGGATGAATTAGTGAAGGAGAACAGAGAGGAACTTTTTAAAATCAGCTGCTTAGTTCTGTGGATATTTAAAACACATCTACATCTTGGGGTAATAAAAGTGTTTGGAATTTATTATATGGCCAATACGGAGAAATTTACTTGTAAAAGAATGGAGACAAGCTTTCTTTAAACACTGCTGTTGAAGAGAGAGGCTCAAGGAAAACATAAAAGCATATGTTGGGTGCTGAGCTTGTCTTTCACTGTGGTTACCATTTTGACTAAGTACCTACTTGCCTTTAGAGACCATCATCAATTCTGAGAGCTGCAGGTTTGCCTCTCCCTCAAGCGACATTTCAAATGAAATGGTACTGCTTAATTAGGCAGCTGATTTCTTCAGGCAGCTATGAAAGAAAAGTCAAAAGTTTAATTTAGATGTGTGTGAAGACATAAAGTACCAGTGGAGGTACTGCAGGATACCTATAGTGTAGATATACTGGGATCACATATGGTTTATGGAATCTTGAAAGAAGTGAACATGGGTGATTCTGAATTGCTCTTGATGTGACAAGTCTGCAGAAAGAGCAGGGGAAGGGAAAAGAGCAGACAGTTTTCAGATGGTACTTCCTGTGTCAGCTCAGCCACCAAAACATGCTTCTAGAAGTTCTATATTTCAAGATATTTCCTAACAAATGTATTCTTGCACATTTATACTGCATATGATTTAATGAATCCACAAGAGTGGCCTGGAGGATTGCAGAGCCCACCCCAGTCTCAGATGTATAACTAGCAATACATTTTTTCTGGATCTTATTTGCCTCTGCTGCTAAGTGCAGATGGTGCAGATACTGCAACATGTGCAAAAGTGATTTTCTTAGTCATCCCAGAAATCACTGAGATGAGGATACAGTAACTTGGGCTGACTGAAAAGGAACATGCAGGAAAAAGTTTGCAGATAATATATAAGGTAATGAGGGTTTTTTTCCACTGTTTTCCAACATGTAACAGAAAAATATTCCCATTCGTTAGTATTATTTTGACAGTGAATAATCTATTATTTTTTTAAATACTTTTCTCTTAAATCACTATTGCATTATATGCTCTCATAGATCTGTTACAAAATTTCTTGTTCAGACCCTCACCAGAGAATAAGCATGAAAGCCATCACTGTACATGCATGTGTACCTATTCTGTCTCTAGATACTTGACTATCAGAAAATTTGATAAGCAGTAGCCTTAACTGAAACCATTCAACCCTCTATAAGCCTGTATTGGACAGCATTATTCATACAAGGGACACATCATCACACTGAAAATGTATAAGGTCTTTGAAAAATATAAATTGACCTTGTGGCCTGATTCTGCCATCAGTCTGGGGTAAATCTAAAGTAACTCCAGTGGAATCAATGTATGGATTGATCGATTGATTGACATGACACGACGTGGAAACGGAGTGCAATTTAACTTATAAATAAGTTAAAGATTCGCCAAAGTTGTGTGTGAAGGAGCTGCCGCATGCAATTATGCAACATTCTTCATGTTAACAAGGCAAAAGTAGGGCACAAACCCTAGAAGAAAACTACCTTAGTGCCTAGAAAATAAATGTTTAACTGTTTTTTCTAACATGCAAGTCACAGCTTCATATTCTGGTTTATGACATAAAACTAAAAGAATTGTACATAATTAATTTGATAATCTAAATAGTCAGCTGTTATGCTCAAATGAAAGATGCACATAAATACATTGTATACAGAAAACCTAACTCGGAGATACAAAATTTGGTGTCCGTTCTCTAAAGTAAAAGCAAGACGTTTGGGATTGCTGAAATGCGATGTAAGCCTTCGGAATTCCCATCGTTGCAAAACTGGCCTGTGGCCACGAGAGGGCAGAAAGAACAGTCCTTCTAAAGCTTGATTTCTGGGAGAATCCTGTATTTCCTCACAGAACCTGGGCTGTAAATTGCCACAAGAAGCCCTGGAGGAGTTAGGAAAACGCAAACTACACAGTCAGCTTTACAAAATCTACCTAATGAACTTTCAGCCTTAACAAATCTGGTCATGTCAACTTTCTATCTTTAAATAACTATTCCTAGAACAAGGAAATTAAAAGAAAAGAAAAAAAAAAAAGAAAAACACCTAAAAAATTACAATGGCATTTGACATAAAGCCTGAAGAGAGGATTTCTTGCAGTGTGTATTATTAAGCTGTGTATCAATGCTTTCTAACTCTTGCCTTTTAACACCAGCTTAGGGATAAGAATACATATAATTTCTCACTTCAATAAACAGCTTGATCTGGCTCTTTTTGGATCTGAATGCATGTGTAGTTCTCACAATATCATGGCTATTAAAAGCAGTAAGAAGTCCAGAGAATGATGTCTCAGTCTTCTTCACTGAAATGCTCACATCCCTCTATTTTAGGGGGAAAGTATTAATTAGATAAATTACTTTTCTCCCTATTTAGCTGAATGGGACTCATCTTTCCTTGGCCCACCACCATGTAGGCAACATAACTTTATTCACTTAGAAATTATGTTTTTATTTTTGGTTTCCACTGGCTATGCCACATTTCACCATCTGAAGAATATACACCTTGGAGAGGGTTTAAGACTTGGAGAGGTTTAAGACTGCCTTAGCAAGTCATCTTTTCTGCATTAGTCAATTGGAAGGTTATAAGATCCCTGACCTGAGATCATATACCTACCACAGCTAACCACAAATTGCTATTTTATCTGTCTGACAGAGCCATCAATTTATTTTAATCCCCGTGAGGGGAATATTTTGCTTAGGAAGGCGGATTATTCTTTGAATTCAAGGGATGCCCTGTTGTAAGGCTCCTTCCTCACTTTGCCCCAGCAAAAGGGATAGTTTTCTTAATCTGACTTTCCACATAACTGCTAGAGTGTGGGAACAACCTTCGAAACCACTTCCAGGCACATGAAGGACAAAGTGATTGGGAGCATGGATTCAGCAAGGGGAAGTAATGGCTGACCAACCCGATGATGCTCTGCAGTAAAATGACTACTTGGTAGACATAATGAGAGCAGTGCACACTGTTTACTTTAAGTCATGGTTTTGATACTATTCCCCATAAAATCCTCATAGCCTGGATGAGAAGACTGAAAACTGGTTGAACGGCTGGGCCCGGAGAGTGATGATCAGTGGTACAAAGTCTAGTTGGAGTTCAATAAGGAGCAGTGTACCCCAGGACCCAGTACTGGGGACAGTCTTGTTCAATGTCTTCATTGATGATCTGGACTATGGGGCAGAGTGCATCCTCAGCAAGTTTGCTGATGATAGAAAACTGGGCGGAGTGCCTGATACACCAGACGGTCATGATGCCAACCAAAGGGATCTAAATAGGCTAGAGAACTGGATTGATAGGAGCCTCATGCAATTCAACAAAGGCAAATGGAAAGTCTTGCGTGTGGGGAAGCAAAACCCCAACACCAGTACATGCTGGAGGCTGACTAGCTGGAAAGCAACTTTGCAGAAAAGGACCTGGGGATGCTGGTGGACACTGAGTTGGACAGGGGACAACACCATGCCTTCTCTATAAGGAAGCTAAATGGTATCTGGACTGCATGAGGAAGAGTGGCCAGCAGGTTGAGGGAGGTGATCCTTCACCTCTACTCAGCACTGGTGAGGCCACAACTGTAATACTGGGTCCAATTCAAGACTCCTCAGAATAGGGGGGATGGAGCTACTGCAGGAAGTCCAGTGAAAGGCCACTAAGACAATGAAGGGCCCAGAACATCTCTCATATGACGGAAGGCTGAGAGAAAGGGACTGTTCAACCTGGAGAAGAAAAGGCTCAAGGGGGATCTCAGCAATGTGTACAAATACTTGAAGGGAGGCTGCAAAGAAGATGGAGCTGGGCTCTTTTCATTTGTGCCCAGTGACAGTACCAGAGGCAATGGGCCCCAACTGAAACACAGGAGAGTCTGTCTGAACATAAGGAAGCACTTTAGACTGTGAGGGTGACTGAGCAATGGCCAGGTTGTCCAGAGGGGCTGAGAAGTCTTCCTCCTTGGAAACACGGTCCTAGGAAGCCTGCTTTAGGTGGCCCTATCTGAGCAAGGGACTGAGTGACCTCCAGATGTCCTCTCCCACCTCAAACATTCTGCGAATCTGTGATTTTGTGATGTCCATCTTTCCCCGACACCACTGTCACATCAGCACAGAACATCAGCACAGAATCCACTGCAGCCTGGTAAGGGAGCTATACAGAGATGTATGAAGGACCTTCACCATCACAGTTATTTGTTTTCCAAAGAAACTCACTAATCTGGAGATACAGGTGCCAGTGAAACATATAACTTAGGTACTGATAGATTTACATGTGGGGGTGACCTCTTTTGTGTGAAGATTGAGAGAGTAGAAGTTATGTCCTAAGCCTTTTTCCTCCAGTCAGCACACCCTCTATAACAACAAATGAGGCAGGTCATTCCCATCGTATCTTAAAACCACAACTGTAAATCTTCCATAGTATTTTTTTGGAAGGAAATAACAGAGATTTTTCAACAGTTGAGTAATAAATTAAATGAATGAAAAGGTTCTGCTTAGCTTTTCCATACATCCAGCTCTAGACTAGGATGAAGCATGAAAAAGAAACACAGAAAATATTTTTTTTTCAGATTATATTGAACTTGTGAACTATGGAAATCACTGATACAACTATATCACTTGCACATGGCACAAATATTAAAGAGTAGTTCACTTTAATGTGATGGTCAAGTCATCCATGTTAAAAACAAACCAGTGGTCCAAAATCATAATAAACACATTACTGGCTCTACTGGATATTAATAACATGACAGTACATTTAATAGGTATTCAGAAAAGATATTTATGTATTATCACTTGCCAAAAGACATGCTTTCAGGTTTTTTTTCACACTGCTTTTCCAAGAAAAGTAGGACCTCCAGCTAATTTTACTCTGACTGGTGAGAAAAAGAGAACAAAAACACTCTTTTCAAACATATCCATTTATTTTGATGCCAATTCAACTCAAACAAAAACCACATTGAGAGAAAAGGTCAGCAGAAGAAAGTAAATCAGATCAAAATCTATCAGCATGTCTGTCAAACGTAGGAAGGCAGAAACATCCAGTAAGCCAACTAACCAGAATCCAAACTCCACCAGTGGCCAGGTCCAACTGTTTGAAGGATGGTGTGAAAATCCCACACAGGACCTAAACAAAGGATATTGGTATTTCCAAGAGTGGGAATAAAAATTGATACTCCACAGAAGTTCCTGCTGCTGTGCTGTCTGCCTTACTTGAAATCTACTTAGGCTCAGCCATTTTGTCAGAAATGGAACCAACACCCACATGATTTCACTCAATTATTCCCAATCAAATTTTCTGTAACTGGCTTGACTTGTGGTTGTATTTACTGCTTTATTCAGGAGAGGCAAAACTGCACATCGCCTGTGTATGTCTTGGATCCCAGATGCCAGGTGTTCTCTAACATCCTCCCCCCTCATACAACAGTTAACCACCTGCTGGCATCACCAGCTGTCTCATTCTCTGTATGTCACTCCAGAAGATCCCAAACACCCTCTCACTGTGATGTCAAATTCTACCAGAACACAAGACAAAGCACAGTCACAGTGCACTGGACTGAACAAGAAGGCAGGCTTAGTTCTGAGTTCTGCCCTTCACAGTTTCTTATTAACGTTTTCTTCCAAAGAGACAGACAATAAAGCTTGGGATGAGAAAGGCTATTCCCCAAAAATTGTCTCCTCTTTTGGAATAATATTTCTTTGGGGTTCTGTAAACACAATATTTGAAAGGTTATTACATTTAGAAATCAATTTTTATATAGGTATCATTTCTCAGAATAATAATGTATCATTTTCCTATACCTTCCTGCCTTCTCTCACTGGAAGCTTTTTCTCATCAAAGCCTCATGGTGAGATGATTCATTCTCTTGACCATGAATTTATGAAAGCTCTGGGGCTGAAATGTGTATGACCATGGCTCCTCCCTTGGAGAGATATCATCCTGGAAACTAGTAAGTTCTTTTGTGGGTGATTTCCCCTAGATCAATAAGGATTTGGGACTTCAGTCACTGAGCTGTAATCCCCTTGGCTTCTTCTACCAAGGAATCAGGCCAGTTTGCCAGGGAACAGAACTGAACAGACAGTGTGCGTCTTTCTGCACGTATTGGACTGCGTCCAGAGACCACTGTTCATAGGGATGTCTTGGACCTTGATCTGGATCCTGCTGCTAAAGGAAAGTGTGAATGGATACAAACTTGTGGTCCCCAAGTCAGCCACCTGGAAGTGCTGTGCAATGAAAATTTTTCTGGAGATGAAGGCAAGTTTTAGGATTTGCATGGTGGCTTTGGACTAGTGCAGCTGCAGGGACATGGTACATATACGTTCAGTACCCTTTTGATGAGGGCGTATGGGTTACTGCCTATCAGTGGCACTTGTGTTGATACGCTGGGAAAGACTGCAAGAGGGGTGTAAGTCTATATGTACATTGTGGATTTGGAGCTGAATGCAGTCAGATCATGATCTGGTGCTACGGATGATGATTGAAATGCGAGGAGACTGATGAAGTAAAATTGATGGCATAGATCCCTGCCTCAGTGGGCAACTGCTGCTGTGGAGTTGCAAGGAAAACCTATGAAATGTGGCACCTCCCTATATGTGCGACAGGCAGAGGCAAAAAATCTACTAGTCACAGGCTCCATCTGTAATTCTGGCAGGCAGAAATACATGTCTGAGAAATGTGGACTCAGAAGTGCATTACATTATAGAACCACAGCAGTTCTGCTGGAAGGAATGTCTAGCTTCTGTTTCTTGCCCACTTGCAGATTGTGGATGAACAACTCGGAAAATTTTTCTCATTGCAAGCCAGTTGTACTTGAATCTGAATCACCAGGATGAGATTCCCCCAGTGCTCCTGTAGCATATAGCAGACCACCCAACACTCTATAAATTGCCAGCGTGATAGAACTAATTTGATTTTTTTCACTTGAATATGCCACATCAGCTTCTTCTCATCAAAACCATATGGCCCAAACCCCCAGATATCCTAGAAGAATAACATACTTAAAATATTTTCAAATTAGTTTCCTATTTTAATAAGACAAAGCAAAGTCTTTTGCATTTCATTGACATATTCCAGAGAAGGAGAGGGCTTGATCATAATATCCTTTTTTTGTCAAAGTTTTGCATAAGTCAGGATGGCAAACATGTCCCAGTGAGATGAATATATATTGCACTGTTCTCCTTGAGACCCCTCAGATTCCTCTTGCCATTTTAAAATCTATATCTGAAACCTAGCAGACCATTAAGAGCACAGCAGCGCGGAAGTGGCTTAAAGGTACAACTGAAAATGTAAGGGGGTCAAACAAAGGCCTCTCAGCCTTCTCCATGTGATGAGCCACTGGGTTTTAGTCAAAAGAAGTTCTGTCACAGCTTGTGGAGAGCAGAGTGCTTCCCTTTGTATTTGTGAACTTATACTAGACATTACTACATGCCCCTACTGTGCTTGTCATAGGGCAAGTAGGCTCCTGGGGCCTTCCTCAAGATTCTCCCAGAAGAAGCAGGGCACAGATACAAGGGAATGCTCTGCTGGCTTTTGGTGGATGGGGGAGGAAGCAATAGTGCTTCTTCATCTACTCCATCTCAGAGAGAACACTCTTTGTCACTGTGAACCAGAGCCTCACTGGGTAAAAAGTGCAAGTCCTGGTGCTTTTCTCTTGTGCAACAGAGCGGCTCACAACAGAGGTAACTTGTTTAGGTATAATGCCCACATGGCATTCTGGAGAGCACAGGAGTTTATACTGACCTAACACAGCACTTCTCCTCACAAGTAGCTAATCAACCAGTATTGAAATACTGGTGAAAGAAGGACTAAAACATTTCCTGTCAGCACAGAAGTAGAAATAAAAATCATGGCAATTAAGAAAAAAAAATTCTTTTCTTTTAAAAGTATCATGGATTTAATATCCTTTTCAGAGTGAGACTGGAACTTTATAGTGAATCTGAATTCACCAAGTGAGACTTTCTAAGTCCAAACTTCCTCCTTTGACTACTTGATAGCTTATTTCTAGCTTATGTTCATCAATAACAGAAAGCAACAGCATCATATCTTTTTAATCTGCCTCCTTTTTCTGGTTTGGTTTTCTTTTGTAGCCCAGTACAATAACCAGGTAGCAGTAGTAAAAGCAACTGCTCTTTCTTGTCGACACTTGCCAGAATTAGGCAGAACTCATGTTTCCTCCTCAGTATCCAGGTGGACTAACAAATTCTTTGACATTTGGTATTTTATCCTGTATCTTCTCCCAGAAGTTCATATATGAAATATGATGCTACCACATGACCTGCACCAATACTGTGGAGAAAATGAGGGACCTGAAATCCTACCAAGAACCTTTGATTCAAATGAGGTACTAACTCCACTTCAAATTCCTTCTTGTGCAACTGTCTCACAAGACAGGTAAGAACATAACTTGTAAAGGTAAATTATTCCATTAGAAGTATTTTAGATCAATTTACTCTTACCAAAAGTATTTTCTCATAGTTATGTTTTTCTGGCAAGACACATTTTTTTCTTTTTCCTTTAATGAACCAAAGTATCCTCTACTTTGTGCAATAATCCATCAGTTTCCTAGGAAAGATGTTCATTACAGCTGAAAAGAGGACTGCAAAAATACATTTTACTGTGGCTTTAGCACTCGAAATCTCCTGAAATAATTTTCATAAATAATAAAACCAATATGTGTATTACATTTCTAATTTGGAAAAAATGAGCATATTTCAAAAATGAATCACCAACATCTGTCATGCTAGTCTTTGATCTACTCCTGTTTTAAACAATATCTTTTTCTAGATTACAGGTTGACCTAGAATTACTGAGAAAAACTTTTCAATTAAAATTTAAAATTACAGGAAGTCTGCATTTTGCTTTCATAGTCATTAATGTGTAATTGTGAAGTTCCAGGAATCAATGTGTTTTTATTGTATTTTGCAGGCTCAGTCATACTATTAGCTAGGCTGCAGGATATGGCAGAATTCCTGCAGTTTTCAAAGGTCTGTAAAGCTGAACCTCCATGCTGCTTGGTACTCCCAACAATTTTTTTTTAATCTAAATTTCTGGTTTTCCTATACATTACAGATTCCAGAGTGAGCCTCAAGTCCTCCAGTGTTCTTTCATGTGAGATTTTATCTCTTTTTTTAGCACAGTCAGGTCTTAGTTTCCGTCTTTCTGACAACCTTCTGGTTTACTACTACTGATAACTTCTTCCATTA